TGACTACTTCACAAAATGGATAGAAGTCGAAGCTTTGGCCAAAATCACTGCCCAAAACGTCCTTCGCTTCTATAAAAGAAATATCCTCACTCGCTTTGGCATCCCACAAGTGATAGTCACCGACAACGGGACCCAGTTTATGGACCACACCTTTCAAGAATTCGTCACAAAACTGGGCACCACCCAACACTTCGCCTCTGTCGAGCATCCTCACACGAACGACCAAGTCGAGTCTGCAAACAGAGTAATACTCAGGGGCCTCAAATGAAGGTTGGACGAAACCAAGAAGGGGTGGGTCGAGGAGTTACACACTATGCTCTAGGGATACCAAACGACTGTGCATTCATCCACCGGGGAGACTCCTTTCCGACTAGCGTACGAGACTGTGGTCGTCATTCTTGTAGAGATCTAGGAACCTTCCAGGCAAACCGAGGCACCTCCTGATGAGGAGATGAATGACACCGCCCTTCGTGAAGAAATGGATCTGGTGGAAGAAATTAGAACAGAAGCGGCCCTATGAGAGGCCTCGCTCAAACAAAAAATAGCCATGTGCTACGATGCCAAGGTCATACGAAGAGAGTTCAAGGTTAGCAACCTTGTCTTAAAGAGAAATTGCAAAGAATCTCGTGAGGGCAAGCTCGTAGCGAACTGGGAAGGTCCTTATCGCACCTGTGCGAAAATGGGGACTGGAGCGTATTACTTGGAAAACATACAAAGGGAACAACTCGTTCGATCATGGAACACTGAAAAGCTAAAAATATATTACAGTTAAAGACACTAAGATGTCGGTGAGTTTGGTCGACAAGACAAACTCACCCAAGCCCGACCATGCATGCATGCCTAGGCACGAGCATAACACCCAAAGTATTCAGAAGGGGCGAGGCTCCGCTCTGTCGACGAGCGCACCCTTAGCCTGACATGGATAACTCGACTGACCTCCATAGTCCTTGTGCCACGATGGTAGAACGTCTGACTCGTGATGGGAAGTTCACGCTGCTGAACTCGGGTCCCTCAAAACGAGACCTGAGTTCTGACCCTCGCCCGATATTCACCCTAGTCGTTTGATGAGTTTCTCCATACTGACGAACATACCAAATGAGAAAATCCCGCTATAAACTCTCAGCAAAATAAAAAAAGTCCTAAACGGGATAGTTTGTCAACAAACATGCAAAAAACACAAGTTAAACATTCATAGAAAATGATCATTGGATGGAATTTAAATAAAACGACCACTTGGGCCGATGATGTACGAATATTACATAAACGGCCAATAGCCCGGAAATACAAATACAACAAATACCCCACGCAGGCCTAAATAAACATAAAACAATCATCCTTTCGCTTCCCCTTCAACAACGGGCGACAATTGGGAGGGACCCCCGGTCGGCTGAGCGACAATATCCTTGAGATAACCAGGGACCAGAAATTGATCGAAAGCTACATAATAATTAACCCCCATTCCTGAGGTGGTGAGCTCAACACCGGGGTTCAACATACGCATCTGATTCACGACATTTTTGACACTCCCCTCGGAAGCTGACTGAGCGTCATCCACAGCTAGCTAAAAGCGAGCAACCTGCTCGGCTCGAGTTTTCAGAGCCTTAGTATCCTCCGGCTCGTCTTCAGCGAGCGTAATCTCAACATTCAGGGCCACCACCTTTCCCTCAAGGTCCCTTTTCTCGAGCAAGAGAACCATGCATTCCTCGGAGAGCCTCCCCAATCCTTCCTCAAACAACTTCAGGGCTTTATCTTTCTCGAACAAGGTCTTCTCGCTTGTAGCCAGCTTGGCCCAAAGATTCTTCATCTCTGCCTCCTAGGAGGAACTTCCCTCAGTGTAAGCGAATGCGATTTCCAATATCTGCATAAAACCACCAACATCTTGCGCCAGCATTACCTTCTTCTCTGGACGGCCCATTCCCTCGAGATGGAGAGATTCGGCCTGGGGAAGACGGAGAGCCGCACCCACAAAAAAGGACTTCTCCAGACAGTTGGGAGGCAGGTCGTACGTTCCTTTCCCTTTTTCCCCGGTCAGGTCGACGCTGCCCTTGGCTCGCAGCCTCTTCGCCTTTGAGGAAACAACAATAGGAGAAAGAGCAATTGTGGCCTAAGCCGAGAATGAGTCGCCTAACCCCGAAGCAAGAGCTGGCCCCGAACCAGTCTGTGCATTCTTCAGGGCCCTCCTCGCTCTGGAAGCAAGAGTCTTGGCCAAGCGTTCCTGAGAAGGATTCGTGCTTTCTGCAAAACAAATAAAAAGAAACATAGTAAACACGGAGTCAAACAAACGACGACCACTTACTACTATTAGAAACATATATACATACCTAAGTATCTAACAGGGTCCTCGCTTCCGATGAGCTCCTTTATTTTTATGAGGCCCAATTCATATACGAGCTCCCCATTTTTATCCAACACATGTCTACCTCCCCGACCAACTCATTGGACGCGAGGGATCCGAGCAATGAACACGGTCAGGACAACGAAGCTCTCCAGATCCTCGTCTCCGAGCTCTCCTTCTCTCCAGACATGGGAGCCCAGTTCTCTATCAAAATGCTTCCTCGTCCATTGGAACGAGAACTTATAAAACAACTTTGCAACAGGCTCTCCTAGCTCGTTCAGTCGGGGAGTGCCATCCCCGTTTAGCGAAGGCACAGTCCTAAAGACGTTCAACATCGCCTTGGTCAAAGAAGGTTGCACGCAAATGTATTTATCTTTGAAGTGGTGGACAGACTCCAAATAGGCTTTAAATAGCTTCCCATTACCTTGCTTCAGGGAAAACCATCCCGACTTTTCATCGACCTTGCTCCTCTGAAGGTGGAAGCAGTAAAAGAACAAGGGAATGATGGCCCATATCTTCAAATGGTTGCAAACTATTTCGAACGCTCGCATGAACGCGATGTCGTTCAGATGAAGTTGGGAGGGAGCCATACACAAGTGCCTGAATACGACCACTTCAAAGTCAGAAAAGGGGAAGCAAAGACCCATCTCTCAAAATACAATGTCATACATTGGGATCTGCTTCTTATCGTATTTTGAGCAGATTCTTCTCTCCTTCCCGGGGATATATAACGACCATTCCTCCTGGCCCCCCTCCTAGTGAGTGTACACGTCTGTAAAGACATCCTTCTGGTGCTCATAAAAATACGACGGCAGTCCCAGGGGTCGCTCGCAACCCAATCTCGAGGTTCCTCCTCATCCCCAGGAGGAAACAAGTAACCCTGGTCGGCAGAAGTCATCTCCATGTCGCCCTTCTACGTTCGCTGCTCTATTTGATTTTGCGCATTCTCAGAAATTTCCAGGATGCTCGACGAACTACTCGTCTCATCTGAAGAACTCCCCGAGGACTGCGTGGATTCGCTCGAAATATCGACCCGGGCATTATCAGCCATAACACCTGAAAAGCAGAGGAAAAAGATGAGCTCGACATCAATGCTAGAACCACCCTTCCACCGCTAAACAAGCGAAAGGGCGCTGGGAAACGAGGATCGTATCCCCAACCAGAACCCTCACTGAGGCGTATGAACGGGCAAGAATTTCTGAAAAAGCCCTAAGCCCTAAATGGGAAGTCTACGACACGTCACGAGGTCCCCGAGGAGACCCCACGATAACTCCGACAATTCTAAACTACAGAAACACCGTCTACAGCCAACCCTCTCCAATGACATCCTCGTGAACATAACCCTAAATCCTAACTGCATGCATCTCTATAAAGTAAAAGGAGAAAATACGAACTACTGAGAGCGAACAAAAATGAAGGATTAGAAACTTACCAGTTAATAGTAGAAGAAAGGACAGAAGTAAGCAGCTACGAGAAGAAAAACTCAAACGAGCAACGGTTGCCGACAGTTGAGCTAATACGAGCAGTTGAGAGAGAAGACAAAAAATACTAAATGCCCTGTTCCTCTCATATTTATAGCTGAAACAATATGTGCATACGAGACACGCATCTGGGGAACCCTAGGGTCGTCATCATTACACCCTAGCCCTAGGTCATCATTGTACTGCTTCGCTAGCACACTTCCCAAAATACTCTACCTCTCCTAATTCAAAGGTCCTAATAATCGACTCCTCGTCTACCCACAAGCAATGCATAAGGGGCAATACACATTTCCTTATAAAACACGCCCCTTCCGTAAGCAGATGTTAAATTCATCACTCATGCACCCAGAAGCAACGACTTAGGGACCACTGTCCTGGACTAGCCCGACAGCTTGACTGGGACCAGTCTAAGACATTTCCTCTAGTACGGCCCGCACGACCATGACCCGGATTTCCCGCTACCTATCGGGAAATGTCAGCCAATTTCCCTCCTGAACCAGCACTAGCCCAGGATGATCGAAGAGCACCCTCTCAGCCTGCCTGACATCAACGTCGTGCAGGCCACCAGGAACCGACCAGAGAGATACCTGTAACTGACCCCTTCCTCGGGACCAATGGCTAGTTACAGGCACATCTTCCCAGTTTGACCAAGTCCTGGCAGTAGCCTGATTTCACGGACCCACATATTCAGGCGCGAAATTAGGAACCAATGGCCATGCACCAGGGTCATTATATATACCCTCACACTTGTGAGGGCCAAGTATCAAATGCTTACTATTCACCACCTAATACTCTGCTTGTATCTCCTTGCTCTCACTCTTACTTGATCGTAGGAGTGTCATGCAGGTACAACCCCCTTTTCTCATTGACTTCACATCCCGACTACAGATTATCTTCCGGCCACTTCTCAAGTTTTGATCAACCGGTAAGATCAGATTCTGAGAGTGACGAATTCAAGATTTTGCTTGAATCTCTAAAAACTATGACAAAAAATGTTGGAATTATTTATGAACACTTTTGATGCTATTGAAGGAGAAGCAGTTCAATCTTTTAATAAAGGATTGTTTGTTCCTAATGGAACTACTCTTACAAATTTCTCTATTGGACCTCTGATTTCATCTTCTTATGGTGGAGATGAAAATGGGTGTCTTCATTGACTCAACTTGAAACCGAGTAAAAGTGTCATGTTATTAAGTTTTGGAAGCATGGGGAGATTTTATAAGGCTCAATTGATAGAGATAGCACTTGGTTTAGAAAACAGTGAGCAAAGATTCTTGTGGATTGTTAGAAGTGAATTGGACTCGGAAGAGCTCAATTTGGAAGACTTGTTACCAGAAGGGCTTTTGGAGAGGACAAAGGAAAATGGAATGGTGGTAAGAAATTAGGCTCCACAAGGTGAAATATTGAGTCATGGTTCAATTGGTGGGTTCGTGACTCACTGTGGATAGAACTCAGTGTTGGAAGTAGTTTGTGAAGGTGTGCATATGGTGGCATGACCTTTGTATGCTGAACAAAGTCTGAACAACGTGATTTTAGTTGAAGAAATGAAGGTGGCTTTGGAAATGAACAAGTCAAAAGATGGGTTTGTGAGTAGAATTCAATTAGGAGACCGGATTAAGGAATTGATGGACTCATATAAAGGAAACAAGATTAGACAAATGATTTTAAAGACGAAAATAGGTTCTAAGGAAGCAAGAGATCAAAGTGGATGTTCATTTGTTCATTTAACCAAGTTGACTCAATTGTTCAAGCAAAAAGAAAGAACATCATCTAGTTGATTGATTAATCTTTATTTTTTGTGTGATAAACGTATTGTTGACTAAAATAAGACCAATCTCGTTAGAATACTCACAAGTTGTTTTATTACATTAATAATAATAAAATGATGCAAAAGTTGTGATTAAAATATCTTTTAAAGTTACATATTTTTACTGACTTTATTCTTTCATTTTATTTTTTATTTAAGAATTTATAATTTAATTATTAAGTTAAGAAAATTTGTCAATTTAGGTAATAGTAATAAATATTTCTATAAACCATGTATAGTACAAGAAATGCTCTCAAAGGAGAGATAAAAAGATTTTTGTCTTAGGTTTGGGGTTTTCCCCTTACTACACGGTGGTTACATTACCCGTGATCAAACTGATGAGTGTGGATTCAATCATGGTGAGTTAAACATGATGAGTGTGAATTCAATAATGGATCAAACTGATTTTTGTATATGGTTATCAATTGAATCAACTGAAACTATTGTACACAGAGGAGAACGAGAAAGACACGGGAGAGATAGATAATGATGGGTGCACATAAGTGAGACCATGGAGGAGAAAAATACATCAATCAAATTCTCAAATATGCGTTATAGACGATCACTAATGATAGACATAACTTTAAGATGTAGTGACTATTTCTATGCATGAAAGGATCACTAATACCACCGTAAAATCTTTCTATTATTTTAATGTCCTTAATGATATTAACCATGATGAACATATGGGTGGATTTATTGTTTGTAGATCACTTATTGACTTTAATCTTGAAAAAGAATAGAATAATAAAATCAGAGGTTTAGGTTTGTGAGTTTTGATAGTGAAAGATAAAGTTTAGATAATGCAAGCCTGTAACAATTTTTTGTTTTAGATATATAAAATTTAGGTGAATAAAGTAGTGTTTTGGACATATAAGAATGGTACAACTATTTTTTAAAAACATAATAAACTAATTTTTTAAATTTTTTGTGCGTGTTCATTCTATCACATTTATTTAATGTACAAAAGAACAATGAATTTGAATGGAAACTTGGTGCTATTTAAAAGAGTATTTTAATATTTAATTTACCAAATAATTATGATCCAATTAATATTTTATTATATTTGAAAATTTAATATTATGTTTAAAAGAAAAAATTATTTAAATAATTAAAATTAAATGTTGTATGCATGACATTAAATATCTATTTTGTTTTAGACTAAATACATATATTTAACGGGTTTTCTAAAAACATATCTTCATTTAAAAAATATGATACTTTAATTGAATATAAAACAAACAGGATATAGTTTGATATATAAAATAATTAAAAATTTATATAAAAAGTTGAAAAGTTTCATCATACTATTTAAATTCTTAACAAAAAAAAAAATTCAAACCATTTTAATAAAAATTTAAACATTGGCTCTCCGTGTTTTTGGAATCTAATCACTTCTTCAAGACTCAATATTTATTGTTGGTAATATATTTAAACTTTTAAATAAATCAACAAACATACAAAGGAGTGAGATTTTAAAAAATAGAACATTTTACTAATTAAGGTAAATTAGTAACTATTTTACAAATGTTCTTAAAAATTCTCAAAAAAATGACATTTCCAATTTACCAACTCATTAAAAAAATCTGAATCAATCTTCATAAAAATGTAAACTTTTGTTAAAATATATAAAAAAATATTGTAAAGTTATTTATGTTTCTTCTTTAAACATATAATAATAATTTTTCAGAATTGTTTACAAATTAGTTATAAAATATCCAAATTTAATTGTATTTTTATGAAATATGATTTTCATTTTATAATAATAATAATAATAATTTGTTTTTCAACTTTATAGATCAAACTATTATTATCAAATTATTGTTTTGAAAATTATTATAAAATTAATTACTATATTTTTTAATCAAATTATTTTATAAATTTTTTTAATTAAAATATTTTATAATAATGAATGTTCAATTTAAACATCTACTTTTTATTTTACTAGTATTATTTATATTCATAATTGTGATACGGTGACAGAATCGACTGTTGTACTGGTTTTGCGTTTGTATTTACAAATATCGCGGTAAGCAATAGTCGCCACCGACTTTTCTTTTATCCAACAAAGGAAAGAGTGAAAAGAACGAAAAAAGACCTTTCGAGAGTTTTCTGAGTAAGGGGGGTAGATTATGGAAAGGGAAGGTGTTAGCACCCTTTCCATCCGTAGTTATCTACGGGCTCTTAGATGCTTAACTTATTTTGAAATACCTTGTGCTTTGTGTGTTTGAAAAGTATTTTGAAGAAAGCGTCTTGGTGCGTCGAACTTTGTAATATTTCTCGGGTTGGTAGAGAACGTATACAAAGTGTTTTTGAAAAATGTTTTTGAATGAGTTTTGTGTATGTGTAAAAGTTTATTTTATTTTCAGCAAGCATCTAAGAACTATCTACTATACTCGAAAGGTTGTTCTTTTCCTCTTTTCCTTTAGACAGGAATATCCTACTATTAGTGAGTAGGTAGCCCTAGTCGTTGGATGTTTGAGGGACAATCGAAGGGACTTTGTTACAGTCACAAAGGCAACTAGACAAGAAACCTTAGTAACTACCCTAAGATTTTAAGATCATACCGAGGCAACATCAAGAGAGTCATTTTTTAATCTTTAAACTGGAGGATAGCCATTAAAGTCTCTCACGTTTCGAGAGTTGTGACTGTTTTCCAAAGGAAACCAAAGTAGGGATACCCTAGAGGTGTATATGTGAGAGTGTGTTGTATTTAGTTATTTTTGTCTTGTGTTAGGTTTGCTAGCATTTGATTATTATATTCTTGCCATACAATCCTAATTAACATACATATAAACAATTGACAATTTGCAGTAATTAAAAGTGTGAAAATGTAAATCTAACTATTACAGGGCTTCGGGGAGGGGGATTATTACATGTTCAAACTTTGGGGAAAATAAAGAAAATAGTAAAGTAAAGTCCTAGTTTAATTCTATTACATCCAGTAGGCAGTTACAAAAATATAAAAATAAAATGCGAAAAGTAATAACGCACGCGAATTGTAAGTACGTCTAAAAAATCCTAAGGTATGAAAAAAAGATTTTTTTTTGTTTATTTTATTTGAGAAAATGATTAAATAAAAAATTAACCTAAATCCAGACTTAAAGAAAAATAGAAATAATTAAAAAATGAAACTAATTAAATGAAGTTAATTCTAATGTTTTTTTTTATTTTTATTATGAAAAGAAAATGAATTAAAATCCTAAGTTCTAATTAATTTTAATTAAGAAAGGAGGTTAAAATAATTAATAACTAATTTATAAAATTAATTCAAATAAAAAAACCTAAAATTGTATTTTTTGTGATTTTAATTATTTTTTACTGATTAAAACAAATTAAAAAAGAAAATAGAAGATAAAACAAACAAAAAATGGGTCTGGGTAGTAAAATGAAATGAGGAGGGTGGAATTTGAAATTCGTTGGGCCCAATTGAAGAAGAGCCTGATTCTGCTTTGTGATTCACTGAGGGCAGTCTTGGAAGGCGCATGATGGTCTACACCTTGGAAGCGTCGGATTTGGATCAAGTGGTGATGGGTTGATGGTGCATGATAAACGTCTTTAGCCTATGAGCACTGGATCTGCAAACAAAGTTAGGAAAAAATAAAAATGCAAGAGGCAGGGGTCAAACCCCTGACCTGTCACACACAACACCTTAACACTCACACACCCAACCATTGGGACGACTTTACATTGGTTATTATAAGCACAAAGAAATGTATATAATGCAAAATAAGTGAAAATGCTGATTTGGCAAGCACGCGCGCTCAAGTGGGGTCCAAATATTTGAATGGGCCAATCATCGCATCCATTTCTGCCACACCTTAGTCAACACCAGTCAAGCCACCAGAGGTGGTGGCTCCGGTCATCCCTTCCGGTTGGCCAAAACAAAAAACCTGCGAAATCTCAAGAAAACAAGCATGGAAATAACCATATTGGACTAATTAAATCCTTGTGAACACGATGACATGAATGGTTTATCCTGTAGAGCCTTGTATTTTGAGATACGAATCTTGGCTGGAGCTTTGCCCTAACAATGACAAAGCTTCGTCCTTGCGTTAAATTAACCATGTGATGGCTCTAAACACACATAATCATCAGTATAAAGATGAATATACACATGGAAATCATTTATATTGCATAATACAAATTTTTGAATTCAAGGAAGTATACCAAACCGGTGACACTCAGGGGAGAGATCCTGGGCACGATTTGACTTGATCGAGGGTTAGAATAAACTCCTGGGAACCTTAGGGTGATGATGGAACGCCTGGAATGGACCAAGTAAGGCTGGAATTTCCTGTTTAAACTTTACAACTTTGATGTATTTTTTGTGATTTTCGTATGGTGATCTGAGGTATTCTCTGCGTGTGTAATACTGGTAGGAATGTTGTATAAATAGAGGAGGTGAGATTAGGGAGGAAATAGGGAAAAAATCCAAGCCATAAAGCCATGATGAAAACAAAATATTTCCATTTGAAAACTTGCCAAATTTAAAGATTTCATGCCATGTTGACTCTTGAGAGAACCCGAACATATTTGCACGAAAAATGGGCCTTAAGGGCGACCCAAAACACCAACCCATATGTCAAAATCATTAACCTATTATTTTATGCATTTATTTTGTATTTATTTAATTTTAAATTAAACAAAAATCAAAATAAATATACATAAAATCAAAGGCATTCAAAAATTGATTTATAGGTCATTGTGTATGTCATAAACACGTTTGAACCCTAAAAGTTAGGTCCATTAACCTAAAAATGCAATTTTGCTCAAAGTTGACTTCATGCATTTTTCACAAATTTTCCCAACTTGTGCAAACCATAACTTGCTCAATTTTCATCTTTTGAAGATGATCTTGGACTTTTTGGAAATCCCGTGATGTCCTATAAAATCTATATGTTGATCATTTTTTCTTTTTAAGACATTATATTGGTTTAATTTGTCTTGATAAAAGGTATATTTTGTTGA